GGGCGATTGTGGACATCTGGCGGAACAGGAGCCAGCAACGCAGTGCAGCTCCCGAAAGGGCAAGTGCCGTCCGGGCACCCAGATTTCGGGAAGATGCAGACCAGCGCCTGGAGGTGAAGCCCCACGGGGAAGCACTGAGGGAAGTGGGCATGCTCGCGCTTGAGGAGCAAGACGGGGGTGGGGGGGGCGTGATGGCCCTCTGCAGCTACCGGAAACCCAGGCACGCGGACCTGGGAGCCGAGCCAGTGTCCAGCGACCGTCCTCCAGCAAGCCAAGCCGTTCGGAGCCGCCCCTGCCGCGGGGCTCCCGGGGCTCCCGAGCACGGGCAGCTGCAGACCATCGCGGGGGAGGCCTGCGGCTCCGGGGCCGCTGTGCTGTCTCGCCCGCAGGTGGCGCCCCGAGGCCGCCTCGCTTCCCTGCGGGCGGGGGGCTCGGGCGCGCCTTCCCGGCTTCTGCCGGGCGTCCGCGGGGGCACCTGCACGTGCCTGGGGCGCAGCGGGCGTCCCCCGGGGAGGGGCACGGGCAGGGGGCGCCTGCCATGCCCAGGGTTGCCCACCCCACCCGCAGCTCCGGGGCGAGCAGCTCCCTGCTGCTGGGACCCATGCGGAGCGCCCTGCTGGCTCCGCTGGATCCCCACATCCCGCACCGCCAGCAGCCGCGGCGCTCAGCCTCCCCGCGAGGCTGCCGGGCCCCTGCTGCGGGTGGGGGCAGATGCCCGGTGTGGCGATGGGGCCAGGAAGCAGCAGCTCCTTAGGGAGCCGAAGGGCAGAGCGCCCAAAACTCCCCCTGTGGGGGCCGGGGCCGACTCGCTTCCCTGCAGGGCTGCCCTTGGCCCCTGGCCCAGCCTGAGGCGGAGCTGCTGGGCGGGGGCTGCATGGGGGGGGTGGCCCCGGTCCAGAGCCCTCCCAGGGGCACCGCTCCCCTGAGCGCCTGGTCCACTCCCCTGGGAGCCAGCTGGCCTCGCTGCTCGGTGGCATCCCCAGCCCCCTCAGGGTGGCAGTGATGCCCCTGCCCTTTTCACTCCGGATACAAGATCAACTTCTCTCCCATTGGCCCCACACAGCGCATGTGCCCAGGCTGGCCACATGCAGGGCCTGGATGAGCTCCCACCAAGGCGACCTCCCCCTTGCCCACAGAGACACCGGGAGCCGGCTCAAGTTGCGGGGTGGCGTTTATTGGAGAGTCGGTTGGGCCCAGGAGGGAAGGGCTTCCTCAGGGCTGGCTGGCCTGGGAGGGCCTCAGTGGTACCGGCGGGCCAGGGCATGGGATACCACATTGACCAGCTTCTGGTACGCAGCGTGGTGGGCGGGAGTGAATTCCTTCCCAAAGTGGTCCGCCATGACGATAATGAGTACATTGCCCAGAAGCTGCAAGAGAAAAGGGCTGGTGTGAGACCCCCTGGCTGCAGCCTTGCTGCCTGCCCGGCCCTCCCCCCTGGCCCCGCACCCTACAGCCCCGTCATCTCCCAGGAAGGGGGACAGGGGAGGGTGTCCCCGCGGCTCCCTTGGTCCTGTTGGGGGATCCGGCACGAATCGAGTTCCCAGCCGCCCAGCTTGGGTCCCCCTTCCCGCTCATGAGGCCGGCCGGCCCTGGAGGTGGGTATTCGGGCCCCGCCTCAGCCAGGCGCTCCTTGCTGGAACGGGGCCGTGTCCGCCGCTTGCCGGGGCAGCAAACTGAGCTGCTGCGGCAGGAGGTCACTCGATTCCCAGGGTGGTTCCGGGCAGGCTGGCTGAAGTGCTGTGGGGAGGAGCCGGGCCCGTTCCGGGGGCTGGGGAATGGCCCAGCGATTGATTGGACGGCCGGTCCAGGCCTCCCGAGGTCCCTGGGCATGCTGGCCCCACCCCGGAGAGGGCTTGCCATGGGGATCATGTCGCCCCTCTGCAGAGGGGAATGGAAACCCATGTCCACCCCATGCGCAACACACATCTGTCCCTGGGCAGGGTCTGCCGCTCACCTTGAAGTTCACGGGGTCCACGTGCAGCTTGTCGCAGTGCAGCTCGCTCAGCTTGGCGAAGGTCTCCTTGATGTTGTCCAGGTTCTTGATGGCATCTCCGAAGGAGGTGAGCACCTTCTTGCCGTGCGCCTTCACCCTGGGGTTGCCCGAGATGGCAGTTGGGCTGGAGAGGTTCCCAAAATGGCTGAACAGCCTCTGGGTCCAGGGGTAGATGACCAGGAGGCTGCAGGAAAGAAAGGAGAGAGGGGGCAGCTGCTTCTCCAGAGAGCGGGGGACGTCCGGCTCGTGTCCGCCGGGCCAGCGCCCCGTGGGCTTACCCGGCCAGGGTCTCCCCTCCGATGATGCCGAGATCAACCTTGCCCCACAGGGAGCAGATGAGCTGCTTCTCCTCGGCGGTCCAGTGCACCATGGCTGACGGCTGGGGTGGCCTTCCTGGCAGCTGGGAGAGGCTTTGAGCTGAGGGAGTTCTCCTCGCGAGGCTTTTGTACCCTGCGCCACAACTCCACGCCCCCCCCCCCCGCACTTGGGCAGGGCTGGAGCTCCTTTGGTGGGGCTGCCGAGTTGGGGGTGGAGCAGAGGCAGCCGCTTCTCCCTGGGTGGAGTGGCCCCATGCCGGGCCTGGATCGGGCTGAGCTGTGAGCGAGGCCAAGATGCTTTAGAAACATAGAAACATAGAAACAGAGCGAGTCAGAAGCGTCCTCCAAGGCCATCTAGTCTGACCCCCGGCTCCAGCCGGCTCCGCTCACGGCATGCCCACCATGTGCACGTCCAGCCTGTCCTTGAACACCCGCACTGATGGGGCCTCAACCACCTCCCGTGGAAGCCCATTCCACCCCCTCGGGGTCCAAACTGTCAGGAAATGCTTCCAGGCATCCAAACTGAACCTTGGCTCCCTGAGCTTGGCTCCGTTGCAGCGCGTCCTGCCTTCCTCTGCAGGGGAGAACAGGCCTCTACCCATGTCTCCGTGACACCCCTTCATATAGCTATATATAGCCCACTGATCTCAGAGTTTCCTCTTCTCTGGGCTGAAGAGGCCCAGCTCCCCCAGTCTCGCCTCATACGGCATCCTCTGCAAACCGGCCACCAACCTTGTGGCCCTTCGCTGCACTGACTCCAACCTGGCTATATCCTTTCTCTAATGAGGGGCCCAAAACTGAACACATTACTCCAGCTGTGGGCACACCAGAGTCGTGTAGAGTGGTAGTAATACATCTCTTGATCTAGAAGCCACGCTTCTGGCTCTGTATCCAAGGGTTGGCGTATATAGGAAACGGGTCTGCGGATGATTTCGATCCTGGTCACTTTGAGCTCAGAGGCTGGCACCTGAGGGCTGTGAGCAGCCAGGGCCGCGGCTGCCTCAGATGCTCACTTTTTTGGTTGTTTTGGGGAGCGACTTCCACGGCTGTGCTGCCTGATCCCCCACTGCCCTTCCTGTCCTCCGTGTCTTGTGGAGGCTGCAGCTCCTCTCCGCTCCAGAGCTGCAGCCCCTCACAGCATTACGCAGCACACTGGGCCAGCCACGGGGCCAGGACGGCCGAGCTGGGGCATCCCCGCTGCAGGTCACCTGGACGCCAGGTGAAAGGCCCATCCTGCCAGAAGGTGCCTGCCCAACCTGCCTGTTCCTTCGTTTGTTTGAAATTTGTTTGTTTCCAAATTGATATGCTGCGGAATATCCTAGCAGGATAGCAACATTAAAATGCATGGATTGCAATTGATTGATTAATTTAGGATTCTAATTACAGGTACGGGGGAGGGTGGGAATCTGCTTGAGCAGAGGGAGGTCTTGCAGTCAGGTGTTAAAATCAGGTCTCAAAAGACGTGTGAAAGAGCACAGCCTTTGCCGGTCCCTACACAAAGGTAGCTGCAGCTTCAGCCGACCTCTTTCGGGGGCCTGTTCCAAAGGCGGGGGGCAGTCACTGAGGAGGCCCTTCCTCGAAGGGCCCCCCCTTTGCTTTTCACTGCTTTCTTCCTCATGGGCTTGATGTGGCAAGAAAACCGCGAAAGGAGGGCTGCGGGAAGATGCTGGGGGCCCTCGGGAGAGGGTCAATGCGTGATCTCTGTGGGGCGGCGTGCGGCAGCGAGGCCACTTTGGGGGGCCCCACCCCGCTGAGGCAGGCAGGCTCCCCCGCGCCTCCCCCTTGCGGGCGAGGGCCGGGACAGGAGGGCAAGGGCGTGCGCACGGGACCGCTCCTCCCGGCCCTCCCGCGGTGAGGCGCCGGGAGCCCTGCGCCCCCGCCTCCGGCGCCCGGCCCCGTGGCTCTGCCAGGCGTTGCATCGCGCGGGCGCTGCTCCCTCTCCGTCGAGGCGGCGGCGCACGGGAGTCCCGCCGGCCAACGCGCTGCCGAGCGCGGCGAAGTCCGCGCGCCTCCCCGGGCAAGACGCGCTCCGCCGCCGCCGCCGCCGCCGGGCGCCCCCGTCCTTCCCGGGCGCCGCCTCGCAAGCGCGCCCGGCCTCCTCCCCCGCCCGCGCTCCGGGCCCGCTGCGCCGAGGACGGGGGCGCGCTCCTGAGGGCGGCGTGCCTGGCGCAGGTGTCCGAGGCCGATACGGAGCCCTGCCCCGCGCGGCCCTGCCCTGCCCTGCTGCCCGCGGGGCCGCGAGGGGGAGCCCCGATAAGCGGCAGAGGCGGCCCGCGCGCTCCCCGGCGCGGCCCCCGCGCTTCAGGCGAGCGGGGGGGGCACCGAGAGGCGGGTGCCAGGGACGCGCCCCCCCTAGGCCACGCTGGCCCCAGACGCCCGGGCGGCCCTGATCCAGGCAGGTTTTGCGTCAGGCCCGGCAGCTTCGCCAGAGAGAGAGCAGGGCTGGAGGAGGCGGCAGCACCCCGAGCAGCGGCTCAGCGCTGGCACTACATGGCCCATGTGCCAGGCATGGCGCTGCTCGTAGTCCGCCTGCAAGCTGCACTTCGCAGCTGAGGAACGCAGGCCGAGGCTGCTGAACCGCTCGGCGATTTGCCAAACTGACTTGCAGCCAGCAGAGCAGGCGCTGAATGTAGGGAAAGATGCAGCGCAGCCGCGCCTGGAACACAGGGCAGGCCTGGCGGTGCGGCCCCAGAGTTGCATCCGACCCCTTCCCAGGACTAAGCCCTGAAGCAGATTATAAATAAATTTTACACCAAAATCCGTCAGGAAGTACTTCCTGGGGTCCAGCCGGGACCTGGCTCCCGGTCCCCTGAGCCCCAGCCCTTGCCCTGCACTCCGGGATGACGGAGGAGAGAGCCGAGAGCCGGGCCCTCCAGCACCTGCCGGGTGCTCTCCCATCGCCCCTCGCGCTGCTCTTCCTGGGGCAAAACAGGCCCGGCACGCTCCGTCTCCCCTCCCCGGGCTTTGCTTCCCGCCCCTGGGCCAGCCCTGCTGCTCCCCTTCGAGCCTCCTCCAGCTTGCCTGGCGCCATGTGCAGGATGGGGCCCCACGAGTGCAGAATAGCCGCAAGCTCTGCCGCATGCTGGATCAGACCGAGGTCCGCCCAGCCCAGCCGTCCAGGCACATGGGACAAGCTGACTGCCCTCAGGCCCCTCCAGCAGGACGGGGGCAAGGCCTCCGGCTGCCCGGCTCCTCGGCTGGCGTGTGCAGGCAGGCCGCCCTGGGGAAGGAAGGGCCACAGAGCCACCAGGACAGTAGCCGTGGAGAGCCCCCTCCTCCACAATGTTGCCCGATCCTTCCCGTGGCAGCGAGGGCCCTGTTCCCCTCTGCGTTGGGCAACGGCCTTCCCTTGATCTGCCCGAAAGCTCTCCCCAGACCACGTCATGGGCTGACTCCCGATTCAAGTGTTCTAGGAGAGGCAGGAATCGCCTCGCCTCCACCTTGCGTTGTCTTGAGACCCTCACTCGGCATGTTTCTGAGCTGAGCAACCCCAGTGGCCGCCTGCCCCTCAGGGGAGCGGCCCCGGCCTCTGAGCCTCTCTGCCGGATTCTCTGCACTTTCCCCAGCTCAGGTGAAGCACCCGGAGCCCGGTACGGTCTTCCATGCGAGGGGCACCGAAGGTTGGTCTCTGGCGAGTACGACCGGGGCCATTTCCGGCTCAGTTCCTTTCCTCGCCACGCTTGGCGTGAAGTTTCCCCTTCCACAGCAGCTGCACGCGGGGTGGCCTTGGCATCGAGGTGCCCGCCCAGCCAAGGCGCCCTCCTGGCGCAGGCACTGCCAGCATGGAGCCCATCAGCCGGTGCATGAATGCCGGCTGCTTGCGCCAGCATGCATCGCTCTGCACCCAGTTCCGGGCAGCCGCACTGGCGGGAGGGTGCCACTTCTCCCGGCCGATCAAGATCTCCGCGGCCTGTCCCTGCCTCGCAAGCTCCCAGCCGCGTGTCACCCGCACGTTGGTCCGCGTTCCCTGCACCTCTTTGAGCAAGCCATTAAGGGTGCCGGGCCCAGGCCCGAGCACATGCCACCCCTCCCCAGTCTGGGAGGTGCCGCTGAGCAGCGCTCTCAGTGCGATTCCGCAGCCATTCTCGGGGCCGCCGAATGGGCCTCCTCTCCGGTCCACTTTTAACGAGCACCGCCACAGGCCACCGGGGATGACCGGATCAGAAAGTGGGCCAGAGCAGCCCGGCAGTGCCTGCTGGGGGCTGCCTGGCACGCCAGGGGCCGCGGGGGGAACAGCTGGGGCAGAGGCGGTGCGGGGCCTTCCGTGGCGTCCCCTTCCACCCCCTTGCCCTGCTCTCGGAAGTGGCTGCATGGATTTCCAGCCACCCCGAGTTCCTCCTGCGAGCAGCTCTACAGATACGGGCTGTGGTAGCGGCACGCACAGCGAAATCAGCCATATATAAATAAATGGCTAAATCGCGCCGATCGTTTTGGCCTGGGACACGGGGCCGAGCAGCCAGCTGGCAAGGGTGCCGGGACCCGCCTGGTGCCCGTGGTCGGTCCTATCGCCCTGCCGCAGCTGGAGCAGCCAGGCCCGGCCCTCGCGCCAGATCGGGCTGCCCCTGATAACGGGAGCTGCTCCAGGAGAGGAAGGGCCTCGCCACAGCCGGCCGGCCTTCCCAGGAGGCCGGTGGTGGCCGGGGCACGCAGGACTGGCCTGGGCCCACGCCCTCCCTACGCGCAGTCGCCTGCCAGCCAGCAGTTCTGCAGCCGCCCTCCCTGAGCTGCCCGGGGGGGGGGGCGCTGAGATAAAGGAGGGTTCCCAAGATGTTGGCACAAGGCTGGGCGCAGGTGGTTCAAGGCGGCCCTCTGTGCCCCCCCAGCCCCCCAAGGGAGAGTCAAGGCTGAGCCGCTCATCTGCTCGCTGCTTGTGGAGGGGCGCCTGCCCTCTATGCCCCTCCTTTCAGGCCGATCCGGACCACTCCTCGGGGGCCACTGCACCTCCCTTTTCCAGGGCTCTGGTGGGGGGCACTTGGGTCCTGGCATTTCCGGAGCAACCAGCGGTCCTGGACGAGCTGCACAGAGCTGTCCAGCCACCGCGGGGTGGTGGCGATGCGGCTCGTCCCAGGTGACGGCGGCCTGCCAAATCAGCCCGAGCCACTCCGCTCCCCCGTCCTCCCA